GCACTGAAAGCGAAAGAGTTCGCGGCTGCGGCCGAAATGCCAGCTATCATGCGCTTCAAGGAATCAGACACTCGAAATCCGAGTCTCACTGGTCAAATGCTCCACGTGCGGTTGCTCATGCAGCTGGAACATCTGCAGAACCTCTTCTTCATTGAGCGGCTTTTGAATCGGAAGGACTGTTCCAACAAGCGGGATTTACTGTCGGTCAGCTACGAAATGACGGCGACGACATTGCTCTTCTGGACTGATATGGATGGTTTCAGTGTCTTGTGCGAGGATTTCAAGTGGCTTGTAAGTGCAACGATGCATCAAACTCAAAGAACCTCAAAGCTAGAGCTACATGACTGACATCCGCGACTCCCTCAGGTCATGGCATATGCCGCTCCAGGAGGCGGAATCCTTTGCCTAGAGTTACTGAAGCCAACACCAACTCTAGGAAACAGCGGCATCCCCGTCACAGACAGTACCGGCAAAGTCATCACGAGGTCCGGTATTGTACAAGTGCTGAGTCTTCTGGCCGGCTTCCTCAAGTGGGTGAGCCCGTCCGAAGCCCCGGGCAGCATCTGCGCGAGCACAATGACTATTGTGAAGCAGGTGCTGGACGAGGCACTCAATGGGGCGCCGAACCGCAACCCGTCTGGCGATGCAATGGAGTGGGACTTTTCGGCGCAGTTGGATTTCAATTTCGATCTCTTGGACACGTACGAATGGATGCGCCCGGAGTTTTCATGGAGTGATTTGCAGGCATAGAGTTAATTTGGGTTGAAGGCTATTAGCCGCTGGAGTTCTCGGTTTGATTTACAACTTGCAAGTTCAGAGCATCTCCATTCCTTGCGTCTTCAATGACTGCCATGCAAACACGACCTGAAGCCATATTAGGTACAAAAACATGGATAACAGACATTCTCACCTGTGACTTGATGGTCCAAGATTGCATTATCTCTCTCGTCTGGTGCCAGGAACAACGGTGGTGAAGGTCACAGGATTATGGTGGGGTACCTAGGAATCCTTTACGCTTCGGGCTTCCAACCAATTGGTCGGTTAGCTCAGTTGGTTAGAGCGTGGTACTAATATTTCACCTGAAATGTTGTGTAATGCCAAGGCCGGGAGTTCAAGCCTCCCACTGATCATACACTTTTGCAAACAAATCTTTTTGTTGTTGATATCCATCTGGGGACGCTTCTTCTTTGATAACATGGCAATCCGTCTGAAGTTTTGGCTATCTGTTGGAGGTTTGCGAAGCGTGGGTGGCTTGTGATCTGATTGGCTAGGTTCAAAGTCAGTTACAACTTTGTTGAGAATTGACCAGGTACGTCCTCTGGTGTCTGTGACATTTAGATATACTCTACAACCGTGTTTACTTTTCCTTCTTCAAAGAATTTTTTAACATTCTATCCGCCCAATGCTTCTATTCGAGCCCAACGGTCTCAGTCAAGCAAGAATCGATGCAAAGTAATCGATTAAATTCTGGTAGTGACGGCTGGCTGTAATCCTTTCCTGGAATTCATAACCGCACGCACATGAGAATGGCAAACGTGTCTTCTGACCCTGCCGGAACACACGGGATTACTCCATGTAGAAGCAAGACCTAGGAATCCGATAGGTACGAGAGCCTCAGCTCATCTGACCGACATGGCTATCGCGTCATTTTTCTGAGTACTTACGTTGTGGCCGACTTCTAATAGATCCATTGACTCACAAGTCCATGGTCGTGAGTAGGGCTCAATGCCTTGAACGTAAGGTAGCTCTGGCTAGAAAATACATGGCGTACTTCTTACCGTGATACCGACCTGAATCTCAGCCATGTGAAACAACTGCTGGTGACCGGCCACGCTTCTGCAGGGTCCAAATGCGACGATGTGACGAGTTTCGTCGACAACCTTAGCTTAGCATTGGAAGCGACTGACTCGTAAAATGGTTCGTGAGGATATAGACTGACTGGATCGACTACCTTAGTTCGGCGCGGTGATGAGATGACGCTAGAAGAAGTAAGCTTGGTTGTTGAAGCGAGGGGTTAAAGCCGGCACTTGTCACCGCACAGGTAAGTGACTCCGGGAAGGTTTTGGTCGATCGGCTAGTTCGCTCCGGCTAGCTCGCCGTATCTGCAAGACCAACGGTATATCACACCTCGTCCAATTCTTTTGCAAATTTGTGGCTTTCGCAGTGGCTGGCGATTCAGGCTGTCCATCAAAGTGTTTTACCACACGAATAGGATCAGTAATTCTCCTGTATGATCGCTACAGCCTACTTCCAAAATCGACAATTGCTAGCGGCAAGCGCGACTATGGCGCAAGTTGCGAACTTGCCAAGATGGACTACTTGGGTGCGCTAGGTTCGACTTCTTCGACTGAACGAAAACGCTAGTATTTCTGTTGTCGGAAGTGTCGCGCCCCCGAGTTATGAGATCACTCCTTATTCCAGATGAATGTACTGGTGTCTTCATAGAAAAACATGCGTAGAGTCAAATCTTGACTTACTCGCTCCCTCGGACTTCGGCGGAGAAGTACATGTAACTATCGCCCGCATACCTCAAGGTCCAGACTAATAGGACCCCCTGTTGAGGCAAAGAAAAAATATACTCGGTCATGGGAGCGTCTGCGAGTACAGCTTGTACCTGCAGCCAGAGGCAAAACATAGCCTGGAAAGACCCTCGAGTCCTGATGTAACTGCAGTACGCCACAGTGAACTACCTCAAGGCACTTGAGTACGACAGCATACTTAATTTCCACAACTTTCAATTCTAGGCTAATAAAGTTGATTCATCCGGCCGAAAGCAAGGCAGCAGAAGGGCAGCGTATATCTGGGTGCCCCTACATGAGGCATTCAACATTGCAGAGTTGATACCTTACTTACGTTCTGAAAGAGCCGATCGGCTACTGATAACTCCAAGCGTGATATACCTCAATAATAGCCTATACGCGTAAAGCGATGGTGAGTGACAACTACAACCACCTACCTTAGACTCTGGTGTCCCTCATAGACTGTAGTGTAGTTCCGCCTGCCTATCACCTATGAGAAACCCCGCAAGCGAAGTGTAGTAGAATTCGTGGAAACGCAAAGGTCAAAGCGCGAATGGTTCCCAAGCGCGCAACGTCGTATCGATGCTGAAGAATGTCCCATCGCTTACTAGCAAGTCGCAAGTGGTGAATCTCGGAATCCGCCCGTTGTAGTTTATGAGATTCCGGTAAATGATGTTGCTTCTACGAGCCCTTGACCATGTTTCATCCCGCTGACAAGGTTGAGATTTGAGAACGTGGCAATGGGAAAAATCCGTCACATCGAGGCCGCCTAGTGTACATCTCGTACTCCAAGGTACAAGCGGCTAAATGAGTAAGTAGACGGATGATGACGCTCAATATTCATATCAGTATGGGGCCCAGTGGATCTTACAGTCATCATACTTATATCACGAAACAAACTAGGGACAGCAATGTTGCAAAGCTAAACTTTTGTTGAGAAATACTAGTAGCAGACATCCTCAAGACGCGAGAAAACCTCCCGAATACGCAAAAGAGAGATGAATCATGTGCGCAAAATAAGTCCCGGCCTGTTCAGTATAGCTGAGTTCATTAAGACTCTGATCACTCATCCTCCGTCTTGTAAATCTTGATTAATAATGGTTAGTCTACAGCAAAAGGTTCGATCACCAATGCTATTGATTGTTAGTTTTGGGTCCTCTCATCATGTGAGCAATTGCAAACACAAAGACTAGAGCAAGTTATCACGCAAGGTTTCGGCGCAGATCATTGAAATTATTCTTACACAAAGACTTCTACGCAATGTGCATGGGGTTACTGACAGTAATATGCATGCGCCCTATCCGGCTCATTCAACAACTTGATGTCTCAGAGACGACGAGATCGTCTCAAGTCATTGCTTAAACTCCCAACCCCTGATGTCGATCCGCAACGGTCAGACCGCACCAGACCCCCATCCACCTATTTTCAATAGCTTCTCAAGGGGGTTCCATAGGGTTGACCACATGTTACGTCGGCAACTGCTGGCTGCAACCCACTGAGACACGTCAATGCAGATCCGGGCAAAACTGCCATTGGCAAGGGGACATCTCGTCGCTCAACCTGCAATTGGCCAGTAACATACGCTGTGCATGCCATACGCCACGCGGACTCCCGCCTTCAATGTAATGCCCGGTGGCTATGGCGGGGGATGCCGCCTCTATCTTGTCGAGCCATCGGCTACCTCCCCCACTAGACTTGGACGAGAGAATAAACGTTTCCCGAAACCGTAGCCAAACCGGCTGCATGTACAATCGCTACAAGATATCGCGTAAGCTCAGGAAGGGAAACGAGTGCCACGATAGGCAAGAGGCTAAGGCGAGAGCGGATAGTAGGTAGCGGGCTTATCTCTCCTAGGCCAAGACCACGTTGACAGTGCATCCGCCCACGGCCCGCTCATGGCCCTGGGTAAGACTCAATCCGGCTGAGTGGGTGCGGAGCCAAATGTCGAGGTATCTCTCCGAGTGGAAATGGGTGGCATTGGGGGCCTTAGACAACCACCAGCCCCTTGTACAATGGTAACGACCTTGGAAGGGTGTCCGAAATGGATTCAACCGCCAACGATGAGTTAGAGGAACTTGGAAGAGGCGGTCGAGAACTCGGTTGCGATAGCCGGCCAAGAAGCCACTATTCCCGTTCTCAGTCTCAAGTCCGAAGCTCTGCTTGTTTAGCGACGCTGCTTACGCGGGGGGCCATCTCAATCACACGATCAGAAGAAGGGGTCCGAGCGGGTTTTCATTGATGGATCAACCGCCGCTGAACGAAGATCTTGCTTTTCGGAACATGTTCGCACTAATTCGGGCCATCACATCCGCAGGGAGATCTTTCGGTGAGTCGATTAAGTCAATTACCATTGGGCATACCGTCTGGCAGTCCCTCACGCTATTTGTGGTATCCAAAAAACATTGTGTCATACAACTCGTTGCAAGCGCAGACTTCCGAGCAAAAATTCCGCTAGTGACAAAGGAGAAATAACCAAGGAAATCAGAACGGGGAACCACTTCGTCCCGTTCTCCCTGTCTTTGAGCTGCCCGCTTCCAGCTCGCGCATGTGAACCAAGCTCGTCTCGTCGTGATAGTCGACAGTGTACTCCTTGGTGTACATGATGCCATTCGGGCTGCTTGAGAGCCCCGAGTCGCGATCGACGGTCCTGACCTTGGCATCGTTGCCCAGTGTCCTGTTCCTACTGCGACCGTTGCCACTCGATTGAATGTAGTACTTGGCTGCTGCGGATGTGCCGCGCCGTGTCGTGCCCAGCAATTTGGGGAAGAAGCCGACGAGGATGACGCGTATTGAGGGCATGCAGGCGCAGATGATGCCCACGTTGATCTCGACGGTGGACCAGGTTGCGACTTCGAATTGATCCCAGGTTGGGTTCTGGGACTTCGCGAATGCGACCAAAGACTGCAGGCGCAAGATGCTAACGACAGTGACACTGGGAACCCCCATGTTAGAGAACGTTCTGAGAGGGAAATCGACGCATTTTGGAGACTTACAAGGTGCCGACGAAGAACATCATGGCCACGCCAATCTTCTTCTTCCAATGCAAGTTCAGACCCTTGATCTGAGATAGAGGCAGAGCGAGCATCCAGATGTCCAACACGATACTGATGCCAGCATTGGCCCAGGCGATGGCGTTGATATCCAAGCATTGTCCGTTGCGGTTTCCGTCCCACTTTGTCCAGTAAAAGCTGATCGGTTGGCATTGAAAAATGGCGACAAAGATGAAGGTGAGGCCGAATACTGCGTTGAAACCGATGGTGCCCCAGATGAGCTTCTTGATACTGCTCTGCGAAAAGATGCGCATGTAGAAGAAGAGAAGTGACATCTTGAGCAGCGTCACCTGGCCGAAATACATTGGCTCCATGATGAAAAACCAGTACCCAAAGTCGTTGATCTGAGTGAATGAGACTGTCCAAATGTCCTTGCCGAGGCCGTTCGCGGCGAACCCGTGGGTGTTGATGACAGTTCCTGGGATGCCGGAGCCGAGTGTGATGAGAATGAACCAGTCGTCCATGCCGAGGTCGCCCATTGTCGCAAAAACTTTGTGTACCAGGCGGATAATGACGAACACGCCAGACAGGCAGCCCATGGTGATAGAGATGGTGTTGTACATCGGCGTGCGGTTTCTCGGTGTCGCGCCACATGTCGTCTGGGTGATGTTCTTGGTTGCTGCGGGAGAGTGACGGGTTAGATGACAGGTCTTTGGGAGGATTCGCCCATTGGCATCCGAAGGAAGACATGGCCACTCACTGAGAGCATTCCTAAGAGTACAGTTCTGTAGAACACAAGCTTCAACTTCGACCTGCAAAGGAGCATTGGTGCAGATACATGTCTGGTTGGTCGGCGCGCATGGCGAGTTGAGGACCGCTGTTACAAGACATGCTTGCTGTCGTGTAGTTAGTATCTAGAGCACGAGCAAGTTCATGGTCTTCAATTTGTAACCTACTGCGCATCTTGGTAGCGATGCTACAGCTGAAGCAGGATCGCCTTGGGCCGCGGCGCAATGGAGCACCGCAGCCATGGACAGGAACAGAGAGATGAACCTCATATTTGGGTATGTCCAAGTGAGAGATGAGGAAGAACCCCTCCCTCTTTCGAAAACGGCCGGGAGAAGAAAACAGGGTCGTCGTACAAGCTAGATATGTATCACCTCGAACATGACGTGAGCATCATATTCGAATAGTCGTAGGTCGTGACGGAGGCGTCAAAGGTTTTCCCAACACGAGGTGAAAGGGGTGGGAAGATGGGCGGACGGGAGGGATTAAGGTTGTCGTGAAACGCCTTCTACACCCTCCGTCTTAGTCAACAAGCAGAAGACAGAAGAGGCCACTTTGGGGGAGCTCCTCGGGATGGGTTGCGTGGTTCCTACGTAGCGACATGCCAACGCGGAGATGATGCTCGATGCAGCAAAGGGAGCTTCTTCTGCGGTGCGGCGGTTCCACTTGGGGTCAACGCCACACAAGACCAGTGTGCCGGTAGCGTGCGGTCTAGTTTCGACACACGGTGGTCGCCGTTACACTTCAAGGTGGCATCACGGCTGTTGAACTGTTTTAGCAAACGGCGCGCCCCTTTCCCCATCGTTTCTACGCACTATGCAAGTCTCAGTGGTGGTGGCGGCGGCGGAGACCGGACGACGGCGTGGGCTCTGGTACATCTAACCGAGGGCGACGTTTGGAGGGAACTCGGCCATGGGCTGGAATACCGGACTGGACAAACATACTGCGTAGGACCCTGGTGCCCAGCTCCGGCTATGGGATAATGCCCAGGGTTCATCCAGGATGGCAGCTGGATATGGCAGGCGAGGGCTGGCCTGCGCAGAGAGAGAAAGCGAGAAATGTGATACACTGACATGCAGGAGGCTCCCCGTCAACGTGGCATGGCAGCGGACCGAGGCCACGACTGGTCTGGAGCGCCGCACATGTCGGGTAGGGGACCGGACTTGCAGACTTGCAGTGAATAGTGATCGAGGGGCACAACCCATGGAGAGACTTGGACGAGTATGCGGATGGAGGCCCGTCATCTGTGCCACACAAATCCACCCATATCCGTACATGCATATCTTCAGGGAGGGAAAAGAAACCCCAGGAAGGGGGGCCCAGACACAGTCGCCGAACCAAGGCGAGCAAGGGTCGGGGAGCATCGTGAGCGCAAGGATCAACACCCGGGGGGCCCAGCGAGCGAAAAATCTCCTCGAACCTCTTGCCCTGGAAGAGGGGCCTGCTCTCGTGCTTTGTGCAGAGGAGAGCCCAGATCACAGATGCGGTGGCAGGGGCCAGCATCCCACCGGGATTGAGATGCCATGCCTGGATACCTCCTCGCGATGCCACTGCGGAACCATGGTAGCGTAGCTCGATCCAAATGAACAAACAATGGAAAGAATTCGAACTTTTTTTCTTCTCGGTGGGCAATCGCCGACGGCACAGCAAAAGCTTGTGCGACAATCGGGGGCTGGCCGAGGCTGGCGCGGCAATGCAAAGCTGAGGCGAAGCTGATTGTTCCCGAGGAACGGTAATAGCAACTTGTATGTTGTGGTGTGCTGGTGCAACCAGCTTTGACACACACACAGAAGCACATCAAGATGCCGAAATAACCAGGAGGAAATGCCCGAAGAAGAGCCAGAGTTTCGGTGTGGCAGGTTCAGTAACCGCATCGAAGGAACCTCTTTTCTTTCTGGAAGACCGCCCCCCGTGCCCCCGAGACGGACACGCAAGGCACGTAACAGGCTCATCACACACACACACAGACGAAGGGGGGCGTGTGTCCCTTTTTTACCCCTTGGGACGTTAGGCCGGGCAGAGATGGCGTCGCAGTTGGCCGGTGCTATCCCTATCCTGGTGGCACATCCGGCACGCTGTGTGTGTGGAGTAATTAGTTGAAAATGGGGACGGTTAGAGGGTCTGAGCCGGCACGACACGCCATTGGTGGCCAATGTTCGATCAAAGTTGGGACGGGGAAGAGAAAACTGAGATGTGGTCGATGTGCGATGCGAGTATTTGGTCTGATTGCCGATATTATGACTCGAGAAGAGGCAAAATATGGACTCTACCACCTGTTCACTTGAGTCTGCATCCGTATGTGTATGGTTTGTCCGCGTGGGTTGGCTCAGCTCGGGTGTTTACAACTCGCTTGATGTCGCTTCTCATGCAGGCTGCAGCAGCGGATCGTGGGCAATCTCCATTGCTCATATATTGGCAACCGGCCGAATCCTTCGGCTCTCTGCCCTGTACTCGGCTTAATGACCGGATTTTGTCGGATTATTCGCGGACTGGCCCAGGACTACAGGGGAAGGTCAATTCATCCATAGGCGGATCTCGACCTTTCTCTGGAAGACCAAGGGGGTCTATTGGAAGGGTTTCCGATGCTACCCAGCAGAGCAAATGTGGCCTGAGAACCCAATACTTTTGTCTCCTTTCTGCCCCAGCTTTGGGGGGTTCGTAAGGGTTCCTCAATGATAGATTAAATGTTTCTGACCTGTCGTCCGGGGTTCATCGTATCTCGCCGGATGCACCATGAAGGATCGGGGCTTTGTTTGAAAGGGTTTGAACTCTGTGGAGAACGAGTGGAGGCAAAAGGCCTGAAAGTAAGAAGAGCGGCCAAGTTTTGCTTTTCCACCGTGCGTTGTTGTCTTCGTCATCTACCCGCAAGTTGTGTGACGGACTTCAGCATTCTGCAGATATTCTGCGTACTGATCGTAACGGCAACGCGCGTTGGGCACTGACGAAAGGCGTTGAACCGCCGAGGGCAGAAAAACAAAGAATAAGAGCGGACTAGGAGAGAGCTAACCTCGGGTGAACTGGCGGTTGCGAGATGAAGAGACGAAAGAGGCGCAACACTAGCTACTCGTGTTCCCATCTTCTAGTCTTGTTCTAGCGGAAGCCATCGGACACCACCGCGGCACCGTCGCATGCGCCGCCGAACCATTGACGGCAATTCAGCAGCCCGTTAACCGTCTCTCCCCGGAGCGCCGCCGGGCGTTGTGGAGTTCCTGACTCTGCTCTACTACGTAGCCTTCACCTTGCGGATGTTCTTCGGTTCCTGTGGTTTTTTCTTTTCTTTCTTGTGCCAGGCTTTCAGCTGCGGCCTACCCCCCTCGTATGAGACGGCGGACACTACGATGGGGCACTTCTGATGCCATGTTCCCTGTCGCAATCATGCCGGGACCGGGATTCCGGTGGCCGGCCGTCTGTGAGTAATGGCAGAGTACGGGGGGGTGAGGTGTTTTGCGGCTTGCTTGCCGCTTGCCTATGCCTTGAAAGAGCCCCCCCGACCCTAGGGCAAAGCCACGCGGCGGGTAACCTGGTTTCCGTGTGGTGATATTGGGGGCCGCGAGATTGGTGCCCATGATGAGCCATTAGTTTCTGGCGATTGGGTTGGAATGCGGGAATCATTTCATCTTGTTTAGATTTTAGAACACATCGGAAAATTGTCACTGTGGATGACGAGACTGTGCTAAGATCAAATGTCTCAATTCAGGCATTTGTATGGCCTCGGACACGGGCCGGAACCCTCTCCTCCAAATAAGAGCCAACAACCAAGTATCATGCGCTTTTCGCATCTGTCCTGCAGGCAACCTGCCGGCTCTTAGGGCTCTAGTCTGACTTCGAAAAGCAGAGTTAGCCAACGTGATTCGCCAATGTCCAAGTCCACAGCCCCCTCGAGTTTCGCGGGAAGATCGATGTTGTGCGAGAGGCGACTGGTTCATGCGAGCACGGGCTGACCTTGGCCACTGTCCCCAATTTTCTGCCCGATTCAGGCTTACACGTGGATCCCGCTCCACGGGTCTTGTGTCCCTGCCTGTGTTCCTGCGTTGCTTACTGTGGTTTTGTCAGACTTGAGTGGTAGGCTGATGGCGTGTCAGACATTAACGAATGACCCTGTTTTTTCTTTCTCCTGATTCCATTTTTGCTCCTGTTTGTCTAACATTCAGTCTTGCCTGTTAAATCCTGTCAGTGGAGGGAGCAGAGACAGGCGTCGGAGCAACGCGCAGATCCAAGGGCCCGAAAACCCGGTTCGGTGCTCGGTGTTGACTGAAGTACACTACCAGCCCTGCTGCATGTCTGGTCTGCCAGAGAGCGGCGTAGAATGGCCATGTGGTTTTAGCAAACAATCTTGGCTGCAGCATGCAATCTGATTTTCGCAAACATGCATACCTTGATCATGTAGTAGGAAAGTTTTCCTGCGTTATTGGTTCGAACAAACTCCCACAAGTTCATGGCTGGCAATCCCTGGAGTTCCTTCCTCTCTCTTTTTCCTCTCGTCCTTCCTATTTAGAACGGCAGAGTTCGCTCCCGAACCGGGATTTGCACAGAGTTCAGACGAACGGAGATGGCTTCCTCTTCTATCTTGCTGCGACACTGGTGGGGGGGAGGCATTAGGTTTTGACAGCTATACTGGCATGTCGGTATTCTCTGCGACAACATGGTCTATTGCATTTGACACGCCGGCAACTTCGCCCATGTCTTCCGACTTCCAGCAACACATGACTGACTGCATATTCACTAGCCACATTTTGTTTGAGGAAACATTTCTGAACAATAGTTTGCAAGCCTCAACTGGCAGCCGTTGGTACCGACAGACGCCACAATATCCGAGGGCATCGGATTGATCATTGTTGTCTTGCCAATACAGCACTCGAGACTTAGGTGACATCGCGCTAGAAAAAACGAACAATAGAGTTCAAAAGCTTGGCAAGGGTCACGATCAACAATCAAACCAGTCGCTCGGTACGCAAACTTTCCTTTTCAGGAAAGGTATCCGCGTTTGCGGCCAAAAATTGACTTCCACCCCTTGCAATGATTGCAATATTGCTGTGCCGCTGCCCGCAACTACATACCCAGCGAACCCAGGAGTCTGCTTCCAATGTCCGAGTCCGAGTCTTTCCAAGAATCCAACCCACCGGAGTTGATCTCGGAGGTGGCTCCGGCGTCCTTCATCCCCGTGCATATGTCGTGATCGCTGAAGAAACATTCGCGATGGATTGGCCCACTGCTCAGAGTGGCCTGCAGCGTCAATCTTACGATCTCACGGAGTTCTTGCCGGATGTCAGGTTAATCTGGTATTGGGGACGAGGTTCACTTCTGGTATTTGCGGAGCTCCTCCAACTACGCCGCTTATAGATCATCATCACCACAAATGCCAAGCTGCCAACTGCCGACAAGTTTGTGTTGTCGTTTTCGTGTGACCTTGATCCCACAAACTACTTAATGCGAGGCAGCGAAGGAAGGAGCAGCGATCGGTGATCTCAGAATTCTCATTCCAGCTCACGTTTATAAATAGTCCATCTTGGCCATTCCAATCTGGCAGACACGTCACACGGTCACACAAGTGATTAGTTGTTTGTACCCAGATTTCAAATCAATCTTTTTATTCATTGATGAACACAGTGCGACTAGGAATACTGTTTTGAGCTCATGCTATTGAATCATTTTGCACTGAAGTGCTTTCAGCTGTTGCCATGTCCTCAGTCTTCATGAAACTGCACTTGGTTATCCGGCGAGAAATGAGGCTTGTTCGGCGAGGGGCTGGGAAGAGCAGCCAACCCAACATGATTCAGGCGCAAAGCTGGGTTAAATTTTACTTGAGAACAATGTTTATTCCATGTGAGTTTCGATGGTACTTCTATTAGCTTCAGGTATAAAGATGATGATACCTCAAGAACTGGCCCCAAGCGCCAAAGCCCCTCCGCAAGCTCGTGAAATTTCTCGCGTTATGTTGATTTTGTGATTCGATCAAAACCGTAGCAACTTTTGCTTGGCATTGTTTAACACGTTGGCAACAAAGAGAAATCAGCCAGTGACCCAATGAAGGTCGAGCTTGAGATGACCATGCCATGTGAGAGGGGCTACGATAAAATCCCACACGTTATAGGTTCTTAAAGCACCAAGGTAAATTCGGAGTCATGCTGCGCTTTGCACCATCTCATGCGCCAACCTGCATCAAGCTTGGCTCTGAAAAATTTCAAGTCAAATCTCACCGACTCGGATTTATCAAACCGGTGATTAGCCTCTGCAAGTAATTAGTGCTAATAGTAAAGATCACATGTTGGAAATCAAATGCAGTCGCCGGTACGCTGTGATATATGACCCGGATGTAGTCCGGATCTGGCTTAAGTCCGCGAGGGCCGATTCTCCGTGAGACACTGGCCGATGCAGGGCCGCTCACATCTAAGTCTTTTCGGCTTCAACCTCAAAGTCCGGGCATACAAGCTCTAAAAATAAAGGATAAAAACTCGTTCGCATTAAGAAGCAACCGAGATGGCTATTGGAAGAGTTGAACCAAAGCTATACAGAAGTTGCAATTCCATCACCATGTCTCATCCGTTTGTTGTCCCAGACAGGCCTCTAACATGGCTCATCACCGGCTGCTCATCCGGGTTTGGACTAGCTCTCACAAGACTGGCGCAGAAACAAGGGCACACGGTGATCGCCACCTCGCGCAACCCCCAAAAGACGCCGGACCTAGTGCGTGAAGTCCAGGATGGAGGGGGCCGCTGGCTTCCGCTCGACGTTGACGACCTGAACTCGGGAGACCTCATCACGGACCTCGAGAAAGCTGGTACTTTGATAGATGTGCTAGTCAATAATGCTGGATGGTCCATCCATGGCCCGGCAGAAGGTTTCACGGAAGAAGAGACGAGGGCGCAGATGGATACCGTATTCTTCGGGCCCTACCGGTTGATGAGGGCGGTCGCCCCCCTTATGCGAGAGAGAGGCAGCGGTGTCATCGTCAATATCAGCTCTGGGGCTGGGTTGGAGGGGAGAGAATCAATGGGCATTTATGCGGCTGCGAAAGCCGCGATGGATGGTGAGTGCAATGGCCTTTAACCCTCTCGCGAGTTAACGGCTGATGGTATTTCCAATAGGTGTTAGCAAAGTCCTCGCAAAAGAAATGGCTCCGTTCGGTGTCCGCGTCTTGACGGTTGCGCTCGGTTCGTTCGACACGAATATGGGGCCGACGGTCAGGTTAGCGAGCAAGCCTACGCCTTCGGACTACGACGGCAGTGCTCTAGATGCAGTCTTTAAGATCATGGCTGCATCGGCAACAGAAGGCTTTCCTGCCGATGGGGATCACGTGAAGGCAGCCAAGGTGATATATGAAGTCATTACCGGCACAGGAGTAGGTGAGGGCAAGGAGGGTGAGAGGATGTTGCCTTTGGGAAGGGATATGGCGAAGAGAGTCGATGATGTCGTTGGAGGGTGGCAGAGAACCATGGGCGTATTCGGAGATGTATGCAACAACGTGTACTTGAAAAAGTAAACGCCTCATGTAGAGTCAAGTCTCGTCATAGAAGGCCGTGCAAATGCCATAAAATTGATATACAAACCCCGAACAATGATCTCAAGACATAATACGCTTCTGGCGGGCTATCATCTTTGTCTCAAAGCTTCTCCATGCTGTCACTAGGTACTTTCATGAAGCCATCTCTTCAATACTCACCTGTTGTCAACCTCTTCCAGGCTGACAGTCTCCCAACCCTTCTCACCACCACCTAGCACGATTCCCACACCTTCCCTCATATCATTCCACCCCATCTTCCGCAACCCATCCGGCCCATCTTCTGCGAAAGCTACATACAAATCTTGCCATACACGTGAGACCTTCTCTTCCAACGGCGTAGAGGGGCCACGAGCCCAATCGTGTGTTCCGAAGATCAAAGGCATGTCCGAGCTGTGATAGGCTCGCAGCCATGGTCGGGGACTGATGTTATGAAATGAGCTGGTACCAGCAGGTGCATAGTCTTTGAGCAAGAAGCGGAATGTGGGCGCATGAGCTGAGCGTGCTCTGTTACCCGGCACATCGTTAGCAGCTGCACTGAGAGTCTGAGATTGTTAGGATGTATGAGGAGAGCATGTCATACCGCGCCATGGCAACCATAGGTCCCAAGAAGTAGTCTTTTGTGATCTTTTCCGCCCAAAACGAATCAGCCCTGTCGGGATGATATACAGCTACTGAATTTCCCTCGTCGTTCATGGTTCCACAAATGGCAGGCTTGTCGAAGCTGGTTAGTGATGATTAACTCGCAATCAGAGAACGAACTCCGCCTACCAATTTACTAAAGTTTCCTGCCTTGGCCCTGTCTTCATAATCATCAAATAGTGTAAAGCCGTCTACCACGGGCCGGAAGCTCAGAAAAGGCTTCTCTTCAGTAGCCCAGTGATGTTGGATAGCCTCGAGGAGCTCTTGCGAAGGCTGCTGTCTCATAAACTCCAACTCCGCCGCAGCATCGCCGCCCGGGAAACCGAGTGCCTTGGCGAGAGCACTGAAGTGCGTACATCCCGGGTCGCTCACTGGAAGCAGAGGGAGTGCACACCCAGAATGGAGAATGAGATTTCGCACCAGGGGTTTGTCCGGATGCAGGAACGCGTGGCAGTCGATGCTGCGGGCGCCTGCTGATTGTCCGAAATGCGTCATTCGCGATGGATCACCGCCGAAGGAGGCGATGTGTTGATGTACCCATTCCAGCCCGAGCCGCTGGTCTAAAAATCCTAGATTTCGTTCATCAGGGCTGAGTCCCGCGGCGTTGGGGAAGCCGAAGACGTTCAGTCGATAACTGGATTCGTGTAAGCGCATAGATCCCGAGTTGGGATTGGGATGGTCCGAGAGGTTCGGTATACTAACTTGATGCTGACAACAATGTGGCGCTTGCTGCTCTCGATCCAGGGCGTTGGATTCTGATAAGGAATCGTAGAGCCGCCGACGAGAAATGCGCCGCCGGTGATGAACACTATCACAGGGAACTTCTTCGTGAACCCCTCCTTGACCGCACCTTTGGGTGCCCAAATGCAGAGAGAAAGACAATCCTCGGAAGTGTCGTCTCGGATCTGGTGTTCAGTCACATCCGTATTATAGACCGACGGCCTGCCTCCAAGCTGTTGAGGGCAAGATAATCCAAACTTTGTGGCATCGATGCTGTCGACCGGAGCCTTCGGCGTTGGAGGTAACCATCGGCGCGGCCCTATCGGCGGTTCGGCGAAGGGAATGCCTAGGAATTGGGCGACGTTTGGGTAGTCTCTGTTGATGAATCCTTTGACGGAGCCGAAGGTCGAGTTTACTGTGATATAGTCGACTCCCAAATTGCTTTCACTAATGATAGACATGATTGATTGATTCTCGTGTTGCAGGTTGCTCCTCCTCGTTGTCTGATGTTGAGGTTGACGAGAAAGGCCCTCTCCAGTATGCACAGGACAAGGTACAAGCTGTCAGCGGGTTCTGTCCTCTGGTATAGGGCATGTTTAAGGAACTCCACATAAGGATGCAGGATCAATTGCATGAGTACGGAGTATCAAATCCTGAATAGGCAGTCGTCTCTATGGTCCTGAATGGTTTACACATACCGTGGCGTCAGGACTCTTCTCCTTCGGTTTAAATCCTTTTTCTTGAGATTCTCTTTGTAATTGCAATATCCATCAAAGTGCTGTCCTTCATCTTTGGGTGTCATAGCGTGTCGACGGCCCTGTCACTACTCCAGAATGGTCCCTGGATCCTGGTTCACTTTAGGCTATATCCGCACTGTGGCAGCGAACCCATTTGCTGGAGGATGTCGCCTGAGGTTCGTCCATAAAAAATGCAAATGTCTCCGCATAGCTGTAAATTGGTAGCATAGTAAGCAGCGTCTTGATTCCCTGGATGGTTGACGTTTCACGAATAACTGATGTCTCTCGCTTTCTAGCAAACATAAGAATGCGGTGTTTGTTCGCATACAATTGAGTACAACGAGGCGCAAACCCCAAATCATTTGTCTGACGGAACAGTGGAGTTGAAGAGGATCCAGTGATGTTGAACAACTGCCATGTGAGGTATAACAAACCACACACGAATTGCTTGCATAAGTGAGACTTGCTCATCGTTGAGTCAAGACTCGAGACTACCCATATGTTACACAAGGCATCATCAGCAGGGCCGCCACGACTGAACTAAGCGGTGTGAATTGGACCATCGTAGGGCCCGTTCAACAAAAGGAGAGTTTTAGACGAGAGTAAAAAGTTTACTTTCGCACTATTAGTATTGACTAACGTAGGAAGCAGAGGACACTAGGGATGGATATTCATGACCAGCGCCTTCTAAAGCCGGTGCCTTTGCAAGGGGCGGCTATTGAGAGGCCGGCTATCTCAAGTTGAAGCTCTGAATGCCGTTTTCTAGTATAAAAGCAGAAGGCCCGTACCGAAAACGTCCCAGAGACCAACTCAACAAGCAACTGCAGACATCTACCAATCTAACAAATCACCCACACCGTCTTCCCCCGAAAATGCAGATCAAGGCCGTTGTTCTCTTTCTCACAGCCACGCTGCTTGGCTCTGCGGTAAGATGGGCCGCAGTGGCCCAAAAGACGTATTTCCGAAACGCTGACTTTTGATTCAGAGTGCCTTCTGCAGCAAAGATGACTGTTGTTTCAAGGACAACGTGGCTCGCGATAAGCACGTAAGCTCTATACTTCCCTTGCGTACTTCGTTGTGTCTCATTACTAATGCTAGCTGTGTAGAACGGCGATGCTTTTTACTGCCTGAACGTCATGCACGGAGGACCTTGCCATGCAGACTGCTGTACTCTTGATGGATATGGACGCTCCTGCTAAGGTTCGAGTTGGTGATGGAGAGGTCATCAAGGAATGGCGTTACCGGATTTAGGAGCCGTGGTGCTGAAATGTTCGTCGAAATCAGGGACTGGTGACAGCAGGAAAGCTTTGAATCTAGAATTTCTGCTTCCTTTCACTTTTGGGCAAGAGAGGTATCCAAGTGTGGACCAAATAAAGTCTGGAGTGCATTGAAATACCGTTGGCACGCCCTCTATGTTCGTTAGTATGCTTCTGATGATGACACTCTAGCATATCATGATGATCCAAGTTCGCAATTGTTCGTCTTGTTGGGGATGGTAACAATCGCGCAGTCTTTATGGATACATCTGCTTGGGAACCTTTGGTCAAGCAAATCGGGATTCATGATATTTTACTTTGAAAATAGGAAAATTTGTAGAGTTCTCAAGATGCTGAAACGGATGGGAAAAATGATTTCCTGTAACGATCCTTGAGATCATCGATTTTAAACTCAGAGTGAGGTGGCTCTTGGTGGAGATCCGCAATGAGAGTACGAGAGTGACTTCCGATGAGATGGTCGTAGAAATTGAGATTCTGACAATTCAACGCTCATTATTTGCCTGTAAAGAGCCTTGCAATTGAGATTATGTAACCAACATGAACCCTCATGAGGGCATCCATCTTGATGGTACGTCACGATGTGGGTACCTAGCCATGAGTTTGTGTGATTGGACTGGTGGTTGATAGCCAAGATAGCCCTACGAATACGTACCCCGTCACGCCTGTGCAGATAAGATCAATCTGATAAATCCGAGGCTCCGATCGTCCACATCCCGACTGACCTTCCCCATATGAATGCACCTGCAAAAGTGGTTACACTTGCATAAGCGAGAGAGGGTCGCTCCAGCATTGGTGCGACTGTGCGACAAATGAGTTGAAGAAAGCCGCCGAAGAACGGATGTTGACTCGGTTCATACTTGATCCCCCACTACACGGCACACGCGCGGCTGATTCTTTACATCATTCCACAGCGAAAAGGACTCCGAGTTCATCACCCCACGATCACTATCTTACCTACCTGACGTACAACCAAGGACTGACAAACAGCCCTGCTGGCCCAAGATCGCTTTGCTGAGATCAAGTTTCGCGCTCTTCGGAAGTAGAGTGAGGTCGGTGCTGCTGGTTGCGCGAGCTGCTTCCACTATTCCCCTCAAACCCCGCAGTCAACAACGCTGGTCAAGCAAGATGAGTGCATCAGACGGCACGTTGGTGGTGGGAGTCGACGTTGGAGGTAAGAGGCTTTTCGAAGAATTCCGGCTTAAGCCTACAGAGCAATGCACAATTATTCACTTTTTGCGACTAATCATCTTCACAGGTACCAACACTGACAGCGTGCTCTTGGATGTCTCAAAGTCCAGCACGGATGCTGTTGTCGCATCTCACAAAGCCCCAACAACGTCAAACGTAACTCACTCCGTCCAGGCCACCTTGAAAGCTCTGCTGGACAAGTCAACCGCAGACCCCGCCAACATCACTGCGCTCGCCATCGGCACGACGCACTTCCTCAATGCCATCATTGAAAGAGACACATCCCGTGTGGAAAAGATTGCTGTCCTCCGCTTAGCATCTCACAACTTTTCAACAGGCACCCCACCCTTTGCGGACTGGCCCTCGGCATTGAAGCGTATCATCAACGGCCACTCGGCCATCATCCCCGGCGGCTGCA